TATATATGTAAGCTATATATTATGTACATGTATTTAGATGTAAAATGACCGTTCTATGTCTGCATAGTAATTTCCATAGAAACTTGTTGTATCGATATGTGTATGTACAACGTTGCTGTTTGGGTGTGTATAAAACTGAGACTACGTCCCCTAAAAGAAGACTTAATAATAAGTGTAAATTTATGTATGTATAGATGGCATACTATAAGAGAATGTATAGTGACATATGTGAATGGTGACAGAATTACCCAAGTTAGAAATTATTAATAAATAAAAAAAGTTCAGTCAGAAATACGGTCGAAGTTCTATATCCATTAATTTGTGGTGAATATTGAAGTGAAATGCAGGATACTGGTAGTATACCATGATACTCAGGACGTCAACAGTTAAAGTTATGGTCTTAATTGTAATAAAGACTTTGCATGTACGTCTACGAGTAAACTTGTCTGTGTTGCTTAAGGCTAAATGCAAAGCATTATGATTTTATTTCGTTTTAATATAAAACGTTGAACTGTTAAACAGATGCCAGTAATATTACTGCGCGGTGCATATTGATTGACTGTGATTGAATTTTGTTTTGAGTTTCTAAAATCAAACTCACATGAATGTGATTTTTCATAAACTAGATATCAAGAGTTTCATAGAAACAATTGTATCAAAACATTTTCATTTCAGTGAATCGTAGCTCAAGATGATGTGTTAAAATTCCTCATAATGTTCAATTATTGTTCGTACACCAAAAAAAGTGTACGAAAATGTCTGAGCTCTGATTCGCTGAGATGTAAATAGGGCAGTAATATTTAAAAAAAAACGCACCAATGAGAACAAATGTAATATCTATTACACTGTTGTCTCGTAGACGAGTATTGCCCAATTGTCTCTTTCGTCATCATTGACGTCACTGATCAACTTGTCTCCTATTGGCTGGGCCAGTTTGTCTTCATCCGGGTCCTGTGCCCAGGAAACCGGATCAGTCCGGAGGAACGCCAAAGCCATGACGGATCCGGAAACGGAAATGGCGGCTCCGATGTAGAAAACTTTCTGCCAGGCTTCTACTGTTTGCTGTGTGTAGCAGAATAAAAAAAAAGATTTAGATCTGAAGTAGAAATGCCAGGCCAAAGTAGGGAGAATATTATGTTGCTACGTCGTCCAGTCATGTGGTCTATGCAACCTTTGACCCTTAGATCACGTGACTATCGCTTTCACAGCTGACCAAAGATGGCGGACATCGTCTAAAAGCTACTTTTCAGCCGTAAGATGATGATAATGACGACTTGTTTACTATCAACACAGGTAATGTAATAGTATAATCACTGCATTTATCACATGAAATCAAGATAATTTATTCGGTATATAACATGACATATCATCATGCATCTTAACAAGTTAGAGCTCTTTTCACTTTATATTCACTTATGGAGTGAGGTGTGAGGTTGCTAATTTGGCAGGTTTAAGTGTTGAAAATTGTCTTTTTTCCCACAGACTTACGTTCTCGTCTGTGAGAATCCCCACCATAAGTGGCACGATGAATCCAGCACAGTTTGCCACGGCATTACTGATGCCAAAAGCCACGCCAGAGAAGCCCAGCGTGAGTTCTGTGAAGACCGGATAGAACCCCGGGATCAGTACGCCTTGCATGATGGTGGCTAGACACAAGATGGCGATAGCCGCTGTGGAATCACACCTCACGTGACCGACAGCAACAAGGCAGGCAGCAACACCAGTCAAAGCTGTAAGGTCAGAAGTTGAAAAGTTGTTTGTCATTGGTGAGAAGAAAATTGATGGCATGTTTTTTTTCTTATGTTAACCGAAGGAAATCATTGTGTTTGCTCTGTTTCATCTTCTCCAAACACCATTGGTCAATGACCTAAACAAGACGGCTGTTACCATGGTGACTGGTGTTGGGTTACATCATGTTGCAATTTTATAGCAGGAGGGATTTAGACTGCTGACTGCTGTAGTACAGAGGGCACATATTATTACAGACCAAATTTGTATCTTTTCTTACCTAATATGCATGTCTTTCTTATGTTGACCTTTTTAAAACTTGACCTCTTGATAACAGGATCCACGATGAGACTAGACAGGATTCTTGACGCCATGAGAGTTAGATAGGGCATGGTAGACAGAGCTCCATTCTGTATGATGTGCACAAATGAAGTTGCGTAAATATCAGTGACAATGATAATGAACATTACTGCACATTTAAGCCATACATGGGCCAAATGCACTACGTTGGATAACTGAGGTATAGGGGTAGGAGGAACAAGTGCTACATTACTGTTCTACGTCATATCTACAAGATCTATAATGTTTGATATCACATACCCTCACTCATTAGGTATGTCAACCTTGCAATACACTCTCTGCATATTCCGAATATAAACTTTGGAAATACGTTCAACTGTCCACAGTGATTACAAGGCATTTAAACCTTATACAAAGACTGTATAAATTTTTAAGTCAAATTTGAGAGGAAGTGGGGGGGGGGTACGTACCGTATCGATGTTGAAGTTGAGTATTGTGCCCATGTATAGAGGTAGACAGGTAAGCATCATGAAAAATCCCCATCCATCCGTACAATGAATATAGATCAGCACCCACAGGTGTGGCGATGTGAACAGTTTCAACCACGGGATTTTCCTCCCCTACGAAAAAAAAAACGATTAAGAAATCAGAGAGGGGGAGGGACAGAGAGATAGGAAGAAAGAAAGAGGGAGAAAAAGAGAGAGAGGGAGGGAGGGAGAAAGACAGACAATTACCATACACACATAGACCTGCACAGCACAAAAAAGCCTGATCTTCCCTCTCCTCCCACTCGTAGCCCTCCCTGATCCTCGCCTTGCCCCCACTTGTACATAGCCCTCCCTGATACTCGTCTTGCCCCCACTCGTAGCCCTCCCTGATCCTCGCCTTGCCCACACTCCTTGATTTCCGTGGTAGTCCGTGGTAAAAAAAGTGACGATAGGATTTTGAAGGTCCGAATTTGAGGTGACATTTTTCATAAATTGTCTCGAAATATAACTAAACATTAACATGGCTGAAGAGTATAAGAAATGTTGATTTTGGCTCACTTTTGAAACCAAACATACAAACCTACCAAAAATTCGGACCACCCGAAATAATATTTCCGTCCCGGAAGTACCAGTAATTAGGTGCTATCAGACGACAATAATTATTAAATCTAAAAGGCAGATAATTTCAACCATATATATGGATTACCTTTTTCGTTCTCTCTAAATTAGACTCGATGTATTTCCTCTCGGCATCACTTATTCTGGGATGAACGGCGGGTGAGTCATAAGCCAGGAGAAACCAGATGCAACAGAACGCCAGGCCAGATACACCTACAGTGTAGAACCACGCAGAACGCATAGAATTAGAAAATAACAAAAAAGCGTTAAATTTACCTAATTCTAAAATCTAACGGAATAAAAAGATCCCTCTTAGGCCACGTCGGCTAACCCTATCCCCTACGTGCTCATTCATTTTCACTTTAAAAATCACTAAAAATTATCTTTTCGAGCCCCCATAAAACCTTTACTCATATAAAAGTTGAAAAAGGCTGATAAAATGAGACACTGGGATAGTTTGGGCTGCTGTTATAGTGTTATCTTTTCAGACCGTGTAGTAGAACGTATAAGCTTTATACCAGCACAGAAATTTACTAACAGAACAAAGACGGTATTGACCTACCCGTAATGTACAGGGTGACTGCCCAACCAAACTGTGTAATGAGATGGGCTGTCAATGAAAAACCCACAAAGACGCCAAAGGTCTCACCTAGGGTAGAGAAGTAATAATAATATAAGGGTTATGCGAAAACTTATTGTGATAATCAATTTGTCTACTGTCAATATAGACGCACACACGCGCGCGTGTACACACACACACACACACACACACACACACACACATACACATCACACACACACACACACACACGAAGGAAGGA